AAAGCTGTCACCCCTCAAGGAAATCATTCAAGTGCCAGATTACCGAATTAATGACTAGATGAAGGGTTTGAAGGGTGAAATGAAGGGTTAACTCCGCGTCTGCTACGAAGGGCTGGCAGGACACGGTCAAGAAACCCATTCCTGAAGTCGAGGTGACCGCAGAAGATACTGATCGTGAGGAGAGAAGGAAAGGGAGATGACCGACCAGAGCAGTGGGCGAAAACTTTCAATGGCGCGAAATCAACGCTAAGTAAAGAGAAATAGTGGAATCATCGAAATTAGATGTGCCTTTCATCACTTGTATAGGAATTCGGTCGAAATAAAACAACAATCTAGCCATTACTGTCCAAATCATTCAAAAAATTGTATGGACTGTGCAGTCATACAATGCCCGAAGACCAGACGATATGATATCGAGTTCACTGTCTACCAAAATGATATCATGCCGACATTTCACCAACTGAATGAACTCCCGTTGTGAAGAATGCGACAACAGCCGAACTGATGAAAAAACTACATGAGGAAGTTGAGGGAGGGGGGAGGGGAAGCTTGTGGGAGTGTGAAGCCTGGAAGCTGCATCACTGATAGTGCGCCACACATCAAATTCTAACGACTTGTAGAGTTATGGGTGATCCTGGTCAAGACCATTATCAGTGGGGCACTTGCTTTGGTTCTGGTGCGATATAGAGAAAATCTGGAGGTGGCAGCATAAAATGCAAAAACAGCAAACCCCCGGAGACCCGAACCATCAACCCTGCCTAGCCGTCCCAAGTCGCAGTCCACATCGCTATCCACCATACCATCTGTGACTGTTAGCAGGTTAACCGTGGAGAGCACATATGAAACCTCCCCGCACTCTTCAACTTATTCAAGATGTGACCCCCTTTTTTGGTACCGCTCACGTTATTTTCAATGTCGCCCCCGCTGGCGCCTTCTAATGAGCGGACAGTCGTCGGCATGAATGAAACAGACGACGCTTAGTGGGTTAAACAGATAATTCCTAGCAAAATCATTTTCACTCCTCCTTTGGCATTCAGAGGGCCATTTAGCGGAAATGGACCATAGTTCTGCACTCAGTGTTCAAGTCCCTATACCATGCAAAAAATCATTTTTGAAAAGCGTCCCTGCCCTGAAAGACCTTCCGTGTAAGTTGTGCTCGGTTTAGACGTATAGCATGCATTGAACTTTAACTTACTTGAAATTACATTTTTAGCCGTCATTCCTTGATAAGATCGAGTTGAGAGTTTATATAGAAAGCACCGCTAACTGCACGATGGTCGGGCTCACCGTAAGTGAGTTTCCTAATTCCCGTTTGCGAACCATTTCTTTACCCTCGACCATTTCTGGAAAATCTCTCACCCCTCCCCCCCTTCACCTCCATTTCCAGTACACTTCACTCTCCTACGGGCGAACTTCTGTTGTGCTCAATTGTGCTCTTGCTCTGTGCTCCACCCGTCCCAAACTTGAGCCAACCTCAATAGAACACCATACGAGACAAACAGGCAAGCTCTTCTGTATAACGAGGGTGGCGCCGAAGGAGTGACTAGATTCTCTTTAATAGCTCTCTGATCAACTCTACCGGGTACTACTCATTTAAAAGAGATCTCTTAGATCGAGTCATTTCGATCGATTCAGAGATCCTAGAGGAATTGAAAAAAACAAACCTGTGATATTAAAAGTAGTTACAAGCACTTAAGTATAAGAAAGAAAACAGAATAATGAAATCCCTAAATAATAAAACTGACCACTTTAGATTTGAGCGCTTAGATTTCCTTATAACAATGTCAATATATCTAATAATAAAAAGCCTCAGTTATATAATATACCACTCGGATCGCACGGCTAGCGTCAGGCTCTCCTCCTTCTTGTGTCAAACACCCTATCCCGAGAAATGTTAACTGAAGAATTCTATTCCCTTTTTCAAACTTTAGAGTCATTAAGTTTTTTCCGTGTTCAGCTGAGTGAGGATATGAAACTGAAACGGAGCTCGAGATCCTTCTTTGACACAACCGAAATCAAAAGCTTCCCTCTTTCTTCGATAGTAGTAGTAGTAAGTCTAAATCTCCACTCCTTTTTGGGAACAAATGACACTTGGAAATTTGACACAGAACTAACAGGGCAGTGCAAATGGTATTCACTTGAAGTCGGTGCTTACGTCTTCGATTGGAGTCTTGAACTTTTGCTCTCTATCTTAAAAAAATACCCATCAGAAATCCGACCTTAGGCAATCAAAAATGATGCTATGGAGATGTTCTGAGTGATGATAGCACCGTTATCAGATATTTTTTATCAGTGGACTCTTTTCTTTACGGAGCTATCATTTGTTTAGAATTCTAGATTACAGGAGCTCGAATAATTTGTCGCAAATGATATCGAGCAAGAGGACCCTTCATTGAATCACAAACCTTGCTGAGTAGCGGTTGTAATCTAATAGTAAGAAATGAACAAAGTTCTAATCTGCTTATCGTGTTGTCCTGATGGGTCCCTATCGCTGCACTTACCACTCACTTTTGTCACCCTGCTCTACCACCTCGTCTTATCGAATGAAGCATACTGAACGGTCAAAGCTACATCGTAGATACCAAAGATGTCAGGATTCCGATCGGTAGGTGGCACTCTTAGGTCCTTTATCTTCTCTTATCAGTTATCATCAGTTCCTGTCACCGAGTACCTACGATCCCGTCATATCCTGCATCACCTATTAGAATGCTGAGGTTCCACTGGTAATACGAAAAGGATGATTTTACCAAATTTGAACGCTCTAGATTCACGTAAACAGGAGATATGAATTTGCAGCCCAAATTTTTATTGCGCACGCGTCGCCCCTGTGCATAGAGTCCAGTCCTACCACCCACTATAAGTGTTCACATGCCGCCCCCTGTACTCCTACCAATTTTGAACGCTTTGGGTCCACTGGAGCAGGAGTTAAGAATTTACGACCTAAAATTTCTATCGCGTACGACCTACACCCTCTAGGTGGAGTCTGGTCCTACCACTTGTCATAAGTGTTCACATTCTGCCTCCCTTGCTTCTACCAAATTTGAACGCTCTAGGTCCACTGGGACAGGAATTATGAATTTCCGGTCAAACACACACACACCGACAAACGCACACAAACAAACACACGCACACAAACACACCGACACACCAACAGACACACTTAGCGAATTATATATAGTAGGATATCTATATAGCAAACACTTAGGATGCTCGGGACCATTAAGAGAGGAACGTTTGAAGGCAGCGTTCATGAAAAATGGCTTCTGAGGTTTTCTATGGAGTGAATCCGTGGCCTTCATGATACCATAAAGACCGATGTCAGGACGAATAACGTCCTGCGTAGAGCATAATCAGCTGCCAGACGAATTTCAATGGCATGTAGAGGCTCCAGCATTCACAAAGGAACCCAAGTGGGAAGTTTAAACATCCTACTTATATAATCGGCTAAGTGTGTCTGTTGGTGTGTATGTATGTGTATGTGTATGTGTATGTGTGTATGTGTGTGTATGTATGTGTGTGTGTGTGCGTGTGTCCGACCGGAAATTCATAACTCCCGTTCCATTGTAGCTAAAGCATTCAAATTTGAAAGAGATAGTATAGGCGGCGAGATGGGAACAGCGATGGTAGGTGATTGGAAGTGATAACTATCGATAGAAACTGATAAGGAACCTTAAAAGGCAAAAGCTTGAGTATCATTAACTCCCTTCGCACTAGCAGTGAAGCCTTGGCACTTTGTCAGGTGGTGTAGGATGTGAAGGGACCGATAGCGGTTGGTGACAGAGAATGACAACAAGTGATAGGGACTAATAAGAAGCCATGAAAAGCGAGAGCCACTAGAACTGTAACGCACTTTCTGTTGGTGATGGAATCTTGGATTTTAATAGGACAGGTACTCGGTGACGGTGACGGTATCGAGAACTTTTGGTGCCAGGCCAGGAGCTGATAAAACCTATAAGGGCTAATACTGGAAAGCGTAGAGCCACTATAATAATGGCATTAATAGTGGAGCCTTGACAGTTTGGCATGTGGTTAGGAGTATGACAGGACCGTAGACGACCGATGATAGGAAGTGATAGCAGCCGATAGCGACTGACAAGAGCACTTTCCAACTGAATTTATCTCCTGTGGTGTTTGCGATGTATTTATGATCACGACTATTACATAGTTTACGACCGCTACCCAGCAAGGTTCGTAACTCAGTGGAAGACCAAGTTCACTTTATGTTTTGATATCATTTACGACGAAGCTCATCTGACCGCCAATAAATTGGGATTCTCAACCAATGATGTACCCGTGGAAGAAAGAAGACCCAGTGATAACGACATCTGATAATGGTGTTATTATCACTTGAGAACATTAGTGAGAACTACTCAATTCTTTGGTTGCATATCAGTTAAACCTGCTACACTAAGGTATTACCGCTACATTGTACAGCAGACAAGAAGAGATCCATGTCAGGCAGCTTCTTTGATTGCGAGGTCATTTAACAGGATTTCAAGGCAAGCCATCCCACGCACTACAGTGGCACGACGACCGCACGGTTGCGGCCTCTTCGCCCGACGACCACTACAAAGTGTTCCTTTGACCCTCGCGAATTGGCGAGACCGTTTAGGGTGGTGCTAGGAGAATAGCCGACGGACCGATGGAAAATGGGGCCGTTTGCTTTTTTTCGGATGGGAGCAGATTCAATCCGAGTAGTGATTCTGGACGCACCCTCATGGCGAGAGGTTGGGACTCTCATAAACGTTGTGGAACTTGATCGTTCTGGTGGTCGAGGTGTTATAGTATGGGGAGACATCATGCTTCGTAACCGTACTGACTTCCAGATTTTTGAGCGTGGGACCCTTGACAGTCGGCGTTACTGTGAAAAGGAACCCCTCCCTAATGTGTTTCTTTCCAGAGCTGCAGTGAGCCCTGAATTCGTTTCTATGGATAACAGTGTGCGACCGCATTGAACAGCTCAGGTGGAAGAGCTCCTGACACAAGAGGTTATCCAGCGGATGGAGTGGCCTGCCCGTTCCCCCGACTTGAATCCTATCGAGCACGTGTGGGATGCACTGGGTAGAGGTATTGCAGCACGTCCAAATGCACCACTGGACATCCAGCAATTGTCAATTGCGCTGGTAGAGGGTGGAATGCCCTACCACAATAACTCATTTCCAGCCTCGTGGAAAGTATGGGATCGCGCTGCAGAGCATTTACTGCTGTCCGTTGTGATCACACACCCTACTAGGAACCGCGTCGTTTCTTTTGAAGTACCAGGATAAGTTGTGAGGAACTATGTGTAATTGGTGCCTTTCAATAAAAATGTATTGTTTGCTCGTCCTATTTCGAATTTCTGCCAGTTGCTTCCTGTACAATACCGTAATGATCCTCTATTGGTACGGCATAAATTTCATCGAGCTCTGTCGTCTGGCAGAGGTACAGTAATCGAAAGTTGCTTTCGTCCCTAAGTTCTGCACACCAGTGTAGTATAATACGAAAAATTCCTTTGGTTGATTGGCTTCAAAACCATAGGTGTTCCTATTTCACCTTTGCTATTTCAGGTTGTGCGACAATCGGGACTCTTCTCGGGAGCCGTTCGTGTACTCGCTGGACACATCACTTTCAGAAGTGCTCGAAAGACCGCATATTTGCTGCGAAAGAACACCGGTTAGGACGCATAGAAATTATATAAGATGAAGTGAGGAGCCTAATTATTTCCTTTCTAGATTGGATGGAATGAGGATCAATTTATTGAGCAAGACAACATTCTGGACATACTCAAGCAGGTGTATTGCCGTTCCATCACCCACTTTGCCGATTTCGTTGCTGTTAGCCCAGAGTTGAATCTTCTGGAAGAGAAAGATCGGGTAACAAATACTCTCAGTGCCGTTAGAAAGTTGAAGTTGTTCATTTTGGTAAATTCAAAAAGCTCAGAGGTTTATAATACGAAAAAGCGGTAGTTGCTTCTTTCAGCTTTCCGTCTGCAGTACAAATTATTGTGGCGTTGTTCTACTAATGATGGTCTATAATGCATATCTAAGCAACTGCGAAGGGATTCTTTTTCCACACGGATTTAGATACTCACTATCTCAAAAAAGAGATGATCATGAGTGAGCTCATTTTATGATTTCCTACTCTCATACAATTCTATTGATGACTTTCCTCAATCACTTCCACTCAGGTTCAACGAGTTCCTTCAAGAACTGGTGGAATATCTTCACACAAATGTCGCCACAGTTTTCCAGGAAATTCAAATCACTGCTGAAGAATACGCACTACTGAAAACTATCGTGATTTTCTCTGGAGGTAACGATTTATTTTGGAAGCCAAACGAATGTGAGATATTGCTAGGAGAAGACATTGTTAGATACCGATAAGTGCATTAGGTATGCAAAAGAGCTGCATATGTAATCATGTAATGTATGCATGTGTACGAATCACTTTGCGACATGCAGCCGCCTCTTCGGTGACTGGCGCAACCCAATTGATCGTGAATGTCTCTTACATTGCTTGTGATTTCAACCCATAGTCATCCAGTCAGCGATCAACTGAAAGGAATGCGCCTCATTGCGATGTACCTACTGAATCTGCAATAAGTTAAGGCGGTGACGTGGACGTTCATGTCCGCGTCACTATCATTTCTCGATTGGGCGCTTCCAGACTCTATGGGCATGCATTGTTTCACCAACCGACCGACCGACCGACCGATCTACGACGGCGTTGCTGGGCATGTGTTGGCAATAGTGGACCTATGGATACAGCTCACGCGGCCTTGAACGCAATCTGTCTGCATTGTCAACACGTGGCCAATAATGCCGTCGGCCAATCGGTCGGTCGGTGGAACAGTGCACATCGTCGAACTTTGAAAGCACCCATTCATGTATGATGTAAGGTCAGACTTCAATCCCCTTGCTAAGGAATTTATGATAGCCAATTTTTCCTTGCATGTCTAGAAGCAGGCAACACCTGTGAATTAAAAAATCTTCTCGATATTCACGATCCTCGGTAACCGTGGTACCGTCACTGAGCATATATATGTGCGTAAAATGACTTTACGGTATTTTCTTCCAAGAAGGCAGGATGTTAAAAAGGAATTCTGCTCAAATGATTTTTGAGATGTTAATGACTCCTCTGAAATTGCTAACAACAGAAGGATTAGTGTTTTCTTGCCTATGTAGGTATGCAGAAGCTCAGAGATGAACAGTTCATTCAAGGCAATCATTTCCGAGCGTTCCAATGTCAGTAAAAGGGTTGCACATAAAATTGATAATCGTTGAAAAAACATTCCCAAAATACGGCTGTGGCGGAGAGTCGTGGTGGTCATGCTCAGAACCTCGGTATTTATTGCGGTAGCTTTCCCTATCATTTGCTCGGGGACCGCCGATGTTGAATCTTTTCAAATGATTCAGTTTTCTGATGGGCTCAGAGAAGAAAGTGTATCAGATAGGAACGAAAACAGGAAAGTGAATCACAACACGTTATGACTAAAAGTTCCAGCATGCAGCTGTTCCTCTCCTTTACCTTTTATCTTGATGGTGAATTGCTCCGTTTCGGCTTAGTGTTCTGGTGGATCTGCATGAGAAGCAATGCAGTATTTTCTTGGCAGGAAACCAAAAACCTACTGAAATTGTTTATAATTTAACCAATCGTGCATAGATTTTCGAATGAAAATGACAAGTGGAATCTGGCTTCAATAGGTTTTATTATGGCAAAGCTGTATCATAAAGGCGGTTGGACAAACAAACAAAAAGATGATTAAAGGAACTATATCGGGGTGGGGAGCAACCCTTGGAAAATAGGTACACAATCTTTTGACAGGGGCGGAGGCCTTCTGTAGAAATATGCTCCACTGTTGGGTCTGTAGACATGGCGTATCCTTTATCGCCTGATGCGTAGCAATTTTATTGTTCACTGCGACCGAGACTATACAATGTGTGCTGATTTTTTGTGATCTAGAGATGTCCTATCCTATGATGTACTATCCTATTATATATAACGCGCAAAGTGTGTTCGTTGGTTTGTTTGTGCGTATATGTATATATTATATATATATATATATATTTATGTTTATATACATATGTACATGTGTGTTTGACCGCTCCGCCCACAGGGAGCGGGGCTTGCTCAAAAAACGTCAAATTGTACCTAGAGCGCTAAAATCCGATAGGAGTACAGAAGCAAGATGGGAACACTGATGGTAGGTGACAGGACTAGACTCGACCCTCAAAGAGCGAAGGTATCGAATTTGGACCGGTTCAACCTTTGATGGGTCATTTTTTTCAAGGTGAACACAACAGTTCAAGTGTTCTAGTTATAGGCGTATACTCGGTGCATAATGAATACCACTTGCATGCCTCGTCAGTTCTCTGTCAATGTTCGTGTTCCGAAAAGTATCATTTGCCATTTGTCATATGTATGTGGTCTGCCGATTATTACAAGTCTATCATAAGAAGGAGGGAAGCCTGGCATTAGCCGATTATACATACAAAGCGCTCCTGTCTTTCTGTAACAAAATTTGCCATTACCTCAAGAATTACCTGGAGATGTCGGTTCAAGTTCGGTATGAGTGGGGCATAGCGCACGGCCAACAAATCCAACAGAGCACTGATGGGCTTAACAGCGGTGCGCCCATAAAGCTGCTAACTGCATCGTTTTGGTTAGAATTTCAGATCGATTTTCATTTATGTCAACAAAGATTTTCTAGAACCTACACATGGGGACCACAAGCAACCCGCTAAAAAACTGAATTTCAGGGTAGTCCTCTATCGTAAAGATTTTGTGTGGAGCCGACCGAAGGGTATTCACTGTTTCAAAGAGTATTTTGCAAGTGCGTGTCACAAATGGTGCCCAAACCAAAGTGTTACCCATAACTCAGCGAGCTAGAGATACTCTAGACACATTTGAGAAATAGGGGAGACGTCGAAACACTCCTCAGGAATGAGAAGTGATCATGTCACTGAAAGAAATATTCCGTGACCAAATTCTAAACAGATTCCTTCTAAGGTGTATACATAGGTGTTGGAAGATGGGATGTCGAAGGGACCATTTGAAATTACTCAGTGAGGACTTGTTGCGCATAACGCTCCAGTCGCAGTATACTTTAAAAACATCACAGTATACCGACAGGATGGTGAGAGAACCAAGTGAGTTACAGCAGCACTAAAATTAGAAAGTAATGGCAACAAAGAAGGTTATTGGTAGGAGCGAGATAATGTCAAAAAAGTCAGAACGAGCCCGACGACAGAGTTTTCGGAGATTTTCACGTACATTGTCCTGGAATCGATGGCAATAGAGCCTTCAGCTTGCAGATTCTCACGTCAGTCCGTATGGGATTTGATACCTGCAGTAGCATTATAAAGCTCCATCATACCACAGATATATCGGATATATATCCTTATCCTTACTATATATAAAGCGCTCGCGTCTGTCTGTTTGAACGGAAATTCGGTATCACCTTATAAAGTACTAGTCGAAGTTTTAAGCCTACGGATGAGCGGTCGTGGACATACAATACATGCATAAGCATGCATAGCCCAACTGGTATACATATAGTCTACATAGAGATTCATTTTGCTAAGACCTACCTTGTGATGCGTTTGTAGTTGGCTTCAATCTGGTTGATCTGATCTGATACGATCTGTTCTGATATTTGATCTGCGGAATGTTTTGAACTTCTTGACTCTTATTGTTGCAGGATTTGTACATTTTCAGTGATTAACTTGACGGACGTTGGTTCGAGCATCGTGCTCAGAGCACGAAGAAAGTACTCAGCCCTGCTGTCCGAGTACGTGGTAGCAACTCGACCTGATCTCAGCCCTTCGGAGCAGATGATGCGGCTCACTCGACTGTTCGGTGTTATTCCGTACATAATGGTTCGTTTTCACTTTATTCAACTTCTGGTAAGACTGAAGCATGCACAAGAAAATCCTTTTATATATTATTGGTGTGTGGCGAAGCCTTCCATCCCTCCGGGGTCGGTGATTCGGTACCAGACTCGTCTAGGAGGATAAAAGCACTGACTTGTACATCGCCTAGCCACCGCAAGTCATTGTATAGGGCACTCACGCACTCATTACGCCACTTCGATTCTGATTGGAAGCCGAGTACGGGGGGCATCCCTCAGACTGGTTTGATTAACGCCAGAAATATCATCCTTTATAGTATTGGTGTAGGTCCAGGTGGTAGCAGCTGGCTCAAACTTTCACAATATCCTTTCTTTTTTTGTTTCACTCATCTACCTTGCGCTCTCATCCGTTTTGCGGAAAGCATTTTTACATTATTTTGGGAATCACTCTTCAATTTGCATGACAATCTTGTATCACACAACCGAGACGCATTACCGGACAAAGAGAATTCACTGCTTGTGCTTTTCGAAGATTCATTTGATCTCCTCAAGTTCTACTCAGATGAATCTGTACCGTTCCAGCTTGTCACAAATGCTTACAACTTAGGACTCTGAAACCAAACATCAAGTTTTTCCACCAGCTTTTTGATATATATCGAATTTCACTGGACGAAGACGCCTAGCGAAACAACCTCTCCCAAAAACACTACTCTCTATTGTCGCTGTTGTTTTTTGTTCAGAGGTTCCCTATCTGGAAGCTTGTCGGAGCTCATTGCCACGCTGCCGCAACCCTCAAGAGCCGTTATCAGTTCAATGCTAAACCCTTTCATTTTTCCACTGTTTCACACCCAAAAATTTGGTTAAATTGAAGCTTTTTGAGCTTTGATTCCCATTTTCAATGGAACGTAATTTTTCGCTCACTAGGGAAGCCGTGAGCAAAGCTAAAGCCATAACCAAGACGCAAAAAAGACGGAAAACGAGATTTTTTTGCGGAAGAAGCAAGAAAATCTCGCTTTGATAAACTGAAATTCTGCAACTCTACCAGAAAAAAGCTTTATATATATATTCAAAAGATGAATCGGGCCTCGTTGAGCGATACAATGCAAATATTTTCAAGATTATTCCCTTTCATGCATATAATTTAAAATCAAAAAATGTTGTGAGGACACGGTTACAATGACTTGTCCAAGACAACGCAAGTGAGGGTATCAGATGAAAGACACAAGGTCAGATCTCACCCCTCGCCCGACAGGCAGTGGAGTCCAGGAATTTTAAAATCGTAGCAGAATTTGTGAAAAGCTGGTAGGTAGAACTGAACGGTAAGAAATTAGAACAGTAAAAGACAATTTAAAGTATTCCAGCATGCTTCGGATCGAGACAACCTGTACTGTGCGAGAATGGTCATGATGAATATTGGAAATTTTGCGGGGAGTTTGTCATACGATCTACATGTAAGAAAGTTCTAGTCATTGTCGGAACTTTGTATATTTATCACAATAAAGACATTCCAAGTTGACCTTGTGCCTAATTCCATACTTTGAACGAGCTAGAGAGTATCAACTTTAGTATGGTGTTGAGTATCCGCGTCTGTCACATGCGAGACCCGGGTTCAATGCTCGGCC